TATTTCTGATGCTAGGCCAGCATCTGCTGAAATTCAGAGAAAGGAACCCAGCTGGGAAACAGAGACATGCCCAACCCATTCCACAGGCATAGAGACTTGCTGTTAGGAAGAGGGGAACACACAGCTTTGATCATAAGAGGAGCCTGAGCACAGAGATGCCGGATGGTCAGATCTAGGATTTCGGGTCAGTCCATGTTGGCCACAGGGGCCAAAGGTTCATCACCACAGTTATGGTCAGATGAGGGGTTTTGCTTAAGGCCCTCTACTCAACCCCTTGCTAGCACTGAGTCAACTAAAACAGCCACCCACCCGCATCATTTATAGGGATAACAAGAATATCCAGAGTAAGGACTAAAATGTACTCAAGAGTTCTGGAAGGGATAAAGCCACCTGCTTCAGGTCATAACTGGACAGCTGGCTATTGTGGGTCAGGAAGGAATTTTCCAGGGATGGGGAGATCCCATAACTCCCTGCTGCAGGGCTTCTTGAGCCTTCCTCTGAAGCTGCTAGCATTGGTGACTGTCAGAGACCGGATACTGGACTAGATGCCCCTAATCCTGCAATTCCTGGATTCTGAAACTTGGCCCCTTGCCAGACTGAATCTATCCCGTCACACATCAGATGGCACAGTGGGGAGACAATGTGGGGAGAGGAGATGGATTGTAGGGCACAGAAAGCCTACCATGAGAGCTGGGCTACATCAGCCCCACAGAATCCATTGCAGGGAGGGTTTGGCAAGAGGGATGGGACAAGGGTCTGACCACTGAGTCAGTGATTAATCTGAGCCAGCCACATGTAGGGTCACCAGACAGCAAGTGTGAAAAATTGGGACAGGGGGGCGGGGGGGTAACAGGCACCTATATAAGAAAAAGTCCTGAATATCAGGACTGCCCCTATAAAATCAGGGCATCTGGTCACCCTAGCCACATGAGAAACGTGAAAGGCTATGGCCCCTTTCCCAGCTGGGGGCCTGGAAGAGCAGCCAGAGAGGGTGTGGAGAGCCACCCCTAGTCCTTGTTTTGGGGTGGGGGAGGGAGAGAAATTCAGTCTCCTCCATCTCCTTTTGGACTGAATAACAAAGATGTGAAACCAGCATGCCCAGCCCAGAGCGCAGGGCCAAAAAACCCAGAGTCAGCAGGTTGCAGCAACAGGGTGAAACTCACCCCTCCGCAGCAGAGCCAGGGAAGACAGAGGCAGCAGGATCATGGGGGTCAGTGTTTCCCCTCAGCATGTTACCCCCATGTCTTCCAGACTGCTGCAGCCTCCTGCTGGGGAAAGCATCAGGCATTGGATAGCAAAGCCCAGGAAAGCAGACATACACCAGGCTCTTTCCTTAGCTCCAAACACACATACAGGCCATATCCACATATCATTTTAGCCCCTGCTGCAGCGCCACACAAGAGCCACCCCCAGGGAACGCAGCCCTGAGTGAACCCCAAGAGCTGCTGCTGCCCACCGAGCACTGCTGGGAACCCTCCTATTTGGGAGAGGCAGCAGTGTCTAGTGCTGAGCACTGAGAACCAGGGCCCAAAGCTTCAGGCTGGAGTGCCCAGCATTTCAGATGGGAAAACTGAGGCACTCAAAAAACAGCTTGACCGAGGCCATGAAGTACATTAGTGCCAGAACTGGGATGAGCACTCAGCAGCCCACCCCCCAGGTCACTGCAGCGAGGCACCTAAATCCACATTCCGATGCCCAAATTAAAGGGACCCAAGGACCAGGGTGCTGAGCTGACACAGCCCCTGGCTGGAGTGGAAGTTGTGTGTGTGTGTGGGGGGGGGGGGGTGATGAGCGTGTGCAGTGCTTTGATAAAGCCCTGACTCCCTATTAGCTGGTCCTTCTTATGCTTCATGCAGCGTGTGAGCCAGGCCCTGCCGCTCAGAACTGCCCCACCCAGGGGACTGAGGCAACAGCAGGTGGGTAGGAACAGATGGCCACTGATGTTGGATCGGGAGCCTGTCAGCTCTAATGGGTTTTGGATCAGGCCCTTACAGAACAGGGAGCCTATGCAAATGTCTCTAATAAAGGAACACAAAGAAATTTATCCAAGAACCCAGAGCAAACACCACCCAAGCCAGGATCACCTCAAAACCATTATCTTGCAGGGGGCACTGCCAGCCCCACAACCTGGGGTCACTTAGGACACTATCCTGCTGGGAGCTCCCCTCTCCATTCATGGGATCATCTGCCTTGGAGCCAGAGCACACAAGCTACTCCTCAGTGCTAAGTACAGGAGGAAATGGGCTTGTAAGAGGGTTACCACATTCAGAGCACCTCCTGCATGGCCAGGAGCAGCCCTGCAGCCCCCCACTTCAACTTCCCTCCAGGGAAGTTCCCTCACAGCCTCTCCCATATCTACCCCTGCAGTCTGCCTGGGGCCCATGAACTTCATTTTTCCCACCTAGGGGGAGAGTGGGCAGTGTCACAGATGGGGCTGAAGCCACTTCCCTCTTAAAGGGCCAGCTACACAGTAACAGAGCCAATTCCCACCTGTGTTCAGTGGGTTACTTCAGGGAGGGACAGCTGCAATCAGCAAGAGCAGACAGGGGGCCGGGAGGCTGTTGAAGGCTGAGGCTTCTCAGTGGTCGCTCACCCCACAGTCTGCTCTAGAGAAGGTTATGTGATAGGAGTCAGGAGTGTAAAACCTGGCTTTGCCTGTTAGAGGGCAGCATACCTCCTGGCCTCAAATGCTGCAGCCCGTAGGGTCCTGCCATTGATTTCAGGAGCAGCAGGCTAGGGTACATTTGTGTATGTTGGGCTGGAAGCTGCTAAATCAGCATAACAGGCTATTTATAGAGAGGCTGGAACCAAAACCCTGAAGCCAAATGGTTAGAGGAGTTCAGGTCAGAGCTGAATTCTGCGTCTCAGGCCTGTAGCTAGTGTTATGAGTATACTAACCAGCAACAGCTGCAGCGAGCATCTGGCGTTTGTTACTGGCTCCGGGAGAGCTTTTGTGCATCTGAACTCTTTCAAGAGCACAGGATTGCTTTTCCCGTAACACCCCAATGGCACAACGTTAGTTAGAGCTGGGCAAGACAGTGGAGGCCATGCAGCCCAACTGGGTGAATTGTGTCCTGGGCCAGGCTGTTTGTCAGAGACAACAATGCTGCTGATGAAGGGATGAGCTCCTGGGGCAAAAGCTATCGACTCAGGTTAAAGGGACGAACAGAATAATGGCCCCCACCCTTGGCCACAGGACAGGCTCTGCCTGCCAGAGCCTGCCACTGCTTTGGTGCAAGGACTTAACGCTGCACTCAGATCCACTAAGCCAACTCCGGGCGCTTTCCTAGGGAGCAGGATTGGGTTTAGGCGTGATGCAATTTCCTGAGCCTGACTGACCCTTAGCCTGCAACCCCTTCACAGTGCAAAGGGATCTTAGGTCAGGTGTCCAGCCCTCCCCTGGGTCACAGAGCCTCTACACCCAAGTTCTGCAGAAGCGGAGGGAGGGCCAGAGTAGTCAGTGAGTGGTGGGGGTAGCAGGGGCGGGAAGAGGGTGTGGTCAGGGCATTCTCTTCCTGCCCGCCCCCCCACAGGATTCTGTGCCCCAGCAAAGCCCTGTTTGGACTGTGAAGCAAGACAACAGCCCCTGAATAGGCCAGTGTAGGGATGAATCTGGCTCTCTGTGCTCCCTGGCTTTCCCTCCCTGTGGCCTCTGCATTGTCCAGCTGGCTGCGTGCTTGCATCTGCCCACTCAGATCTGCATGCATCAGCTTCTTGGCCACTCTCCTCCCCACTCTCATTCCGTACGGGGCTGTGGCTGACATGCCGTGCGGACCGTGTGCAGCTTTGCCACAGCCTTGGTTGCTAGTCATTGTGGCTTGCAGATTTTTGTGGCCTATCCCCATGACCTCTCCACTTCCATTGCGTCTCTGCTAAAGCCCGTGTCTCTATCCCCATGGGGATGCAGAGAGATTCAGAGGAAATGCTCCCAGCAAGAAAATAAAGGGCTTGCTAGGCTGCGTGGGATGGGAAATTACAGGGCCAATCCCTCTGTCATTACACAGGCAAGACTCCCAAAATCAGTGGGAGCTTTGCTTGAGCAAGAAATGCAAGATCTCCCCCACAGGAAGAGCCCTGTGTGTCCCATGATCCCGCAGCTGTAAAATTTGCCCTAGAGTTTGCTCCATGCTGCAGAATTATGCTCTGGAATCTCAGCTTTCATTTTTGTTTTAAATATACTTCAAGCCCTCAAGGTAGCAAAATACCCTTGCAATTGTGACCTGAATGTGAACTGATGTGGCAGTTGACTTCAGTGGAATTACTCTGAATTTTCAGCCGTGCACCTGTGATCAAAACGTGCTCCTAAGTAATTAAGCCCGGCAAGATAGGCAAGGATTGTCATTCCCATTCAGGAATGGGAAAAGAGAGTCATAGAACAAGCAGCTGGCACACAGCTGCCCATTGGGTCAGTATGTAAAGGGATGGGCCCCTCCTGCACATCCCCGTGGGATCAGGTGTGGCACTGCAGGCGAACCCTACCTTATTTTCCAGTTGGTGCATCAAAATATTCCCTCTGTAAAGGATCAGGGCCAAGGGAAGCCAAAAACAAAAACCAAAAGAGGTGTGTCTCCTTTAGTAAAGTCTCATGGCAGGAGCATTTGCAGTCACAGCTCGGAGGCCTCAGGTTCAAAGCTCCTTGCCCAAGTCCTTAGAGAAAGTCTCTGCTTGCTCGGGTCAGTCTCCTGTAGCCAGGGAGTGGGAGATCACACACACCCGCCAACCTGCATAGCTTCTAGCTCCCTGGTTTTGTTTAAATACGTCAGCCCGAGGGTGAAGCAGGGAATCTCCTGTTGTGGTTGTGAGCACCTGGCTGTCCATTCAGAGGCAGGACACTCCTTCACACAGCAGCAGAGCACTGGCTAGCTCTCAGGAGCCCTGACTCCCAGTTCCTTGCTCTAGCCACAACATGAATGTACTAACGAGGAACAGTATATTAAAGGATCAGATAAACTTGCGCCACTTAAAATGTCCCTTGGAGTGAAATCATTCGCTCTAATGGGTAACTGTTAAGCACTTTTATTGCTGATTTAAAATCCGTTAAGACTACATTACGTTGGATTATGAGATTTTGGCTACATTTCCCACATTTGCATGTAGATATTATTGTCGCAGGGTTTTTCAGAGAAATGGAGCAGGCGCACAAAATGCATAAAAGTTATACAATTATAACATGGAAGCAGCATGTTAGTTACAGAAAGTTGTACCACATGTACCGGCAACAAACCCCCATGAAGAACCCCCTTAAACTTTAGCAATAAGAAATCCGTCAACTTCCTCTGTCCCCAATGTTTTATGGCAGTCATGTCAGCCCACATCCCCACTACTTCTGAGAGCGTACCTCTTTCTAGAACATATTTGTACAGTACATTGTTTTCCCTTATAAACCAAGCAATTTCTCTCTTCCCCAAAATGTAAATCTATCATTATCTACATATCTGTTCAAGCATTGTTAAAGGTTAGAAATCTCCTGGTTTTCCTAATTATACTACATTTTGCATTACTCAAAAGCATCAGATCAGTAACAAATGTCTAAATATACTAGGCAGTACCCAATAATTCCCATTTCCCAAAGCTACAAGAGAACAATTTGAGAATACCATACCTTATTATCACACTCACATGCATAACATCCTGGGCCATCTGTATTTATTCACCTTAAGTCCCTTTTAATAAATTACTCTAACTGTCCAGCAGTAAAGTCCAGAAGTGTCCTGTCTCCTCTGTGTTAATCTCTCTATATTTACAGAAGCTGGGCTGTTTTCTCAGGAAAATGCTTTTTTAAAATGAAAAAGTCAAAGGATGGTACCGATCACATTGACAAAAGCCATCACAAGAATACAAAGGCTTAGAGAACAACAGGTGCATGTGCATCTGAACTGGTACAGTTCATGAATCAACCCATCACTGAGCTCACTCACCAATAAGAGGAGCTGAAGCTTTGTAAATTTAGGACTGTTTGACCCACAGCCTTGATCTTGATGCATCAGGAACTGCAGTTGGTATGCAGCCCTTAATAGGCTAAACCACAGTGGTCTTGGATGAATCCTGATCACTTGGAGTCTGATTCTCCACTGCTTTGCATTTTGCATTACTGTTTACACCAGCGTTAAGTGTGTGCCAGATGCTCCCAAATCCAAATTCTGCACTCACGCCAGGGAAAGCATTAGACACTCACGGTGCACAGGTGAAAATGAGATGGGAGGCTCCAAGGTATTGGTGAATCATTCTCTTTTAAACACTTCCTTACAGTGTTTGCTATGGAGCACTGTAATCACAACTGGCCAAACATACAGATGAAAACAACAATAGCATATTCAACCATCAGGCCAGTGAAAGGCACCCTGTCAGGTTAAAAATCCCGGGCCAGACCCTCAGCTGGTGCAAAGTGGCATAGCTCCATTGAAGTCCATGGAGCAACATCAATTTAAATCAGCCGAGGATCTGATGAAATAGACTTAAAAAAAAAAAGCCCAAATTGCTTAACACCTGTGTTATTGTAACTCCTGAAATAGTAAAAATGGAAAAGAGTTGTATGAGTCCAAATGTCCTTTTTGCAGCCAGTGCCCTAGGTTTACATTTAGCGCTGCATTCAGCTTGAAGGATGAAAATAGACTGGTCAGTTTCACTTTTGCTTCTCCCCAGTTCCACTGTCCAGCTCTCACACAGTGCTGTAGTGCTTGGGTGGCAGACACTGCAGGGGCAGGTTTGCGATACAAACCGAAAGCTGATTTCCTGGGAATGTAACTCTCTAGCTATTGATACTCATGGAAACCCCTTGCCCTCCTGCACTTGTATGCTGGGGTAGTTTTAGAAGAGATGGAGTCAGAGCAGTGTAAAGCTTGGGTAATGCAGTGGTGAATTTAGCACTGCGAACAGATCTCATCATCTGGAATCCCAAACAATTGCGATCCCAGCTGTGCACCTGAGTTTATTGAAGATGGATTCCTTGCACAGCCAAGACTAGACACATTTTTGCAAAGGTAACGGCATTGTGATACCTGTCAATCTGCAGATGAGTCAGCTGTTTGAATAGCTTGTGAAAAACCTCTAGGCATTGGCATATGTAACACAGATCCCTGGGCCAAACTCCACTGGCATTTACACTGGTGTACATCTGCAGTGACTCCATAAGTCATTGGCGCTACTCTGGATTTACACAGGAGTAAGCGATGACAGAATTTGGCACCCTGCTTTAATCACTGGCTAAAAGTAGTCCTGGCCAGTCAAGAAAAACGTTATAAATGGAACCTATTTTTGTAAGTTAATTTTCCCTGCTCGTTATCTGCTCCCAGCACTGTGGGTCTCGCTAGTACCTCAGTCCCCCCTGGTGGTGAATTAAGTGTTGGTGAAAGGTCTGACAGCCCTGATGTCCTTTCTGTATGCACAGGCAGTAGCCGCACAAGCTTCGCCACCCATGTGCCAGATCTCTATGACAGCACTTGAGGCTGGGAGGGATGTTCAGTGTCCTTTGTCATTTCAATTATCGGCCTCCGCTGAGATTGCCAATAAGAGGGGCGGTTAATGCCAACTGCTTATTGTGATGTAGACACCTGTCCGCTAGGAGCTGGGCTGCGACCCACCAAACTCTTTCCACAAAGGCCTCCAAAGAGATATCAGGAAATACCAACTTCCAGTCACTCCCAGTCTGGACTAAATGGATGGTCTTGCCATGGAAAACTTGGCAGCCCATTCCCACTCTCCCCCTGGCTCATCCAGTCCCGTTCACTGAAGACAGTGGAGTTTTGCCATAACTAAAATGGAGAATAAGACACATTATTTTTGCCTTTCAACTCAAAGCAGTGAGAACAAACAACTGATGACTAATTAGATGTCACACTGGCTGCAGATGTGGGAGTGCTGCTCTCAAAGCAAATGCTTTAAATGGAGGGGGAGCAATCCAGATAGAAGTATGGAGATGTTAACCCCCCACAAGCCATTCCCCCGTCTCTGCCACCTATGGGCCAACCCAGCAGACCGCACTCATGTGGGGTAAGGGAGGTAGAACTGTACCGAGCTATAAGTAATGTATCTGATTCTTCTCTCAGTGCAGTGTGAGGCCCCAATTTGAGCATGCAAATAATCCTATTGACTTCAATGAAATTTAATCACAGATTTAAACTTAACCACATTCTTCAGTGCTTTGCTGTCTCAGGTCTAAATCAGGACCAATTCCACTGCAGTCAATGGGACCAGATCCTCAACTGGTGTAAATGGGTGCTGCTCCCCTGACTTCAGTGGAGTTATGCTGATTCCTGTGAGCTGAGTTTACGGCCCAATAGCATGCCATAGCGCTGCATGTTTTTACCAATTAGGCCTTGTTGGGCCGTTCATCATCCCCTGATCTGGCCTCTTTACGTCGCACCAGGAGTGCACATGCCATAAAGCGAGAGTAAATGCAAGGCATTACTACAGTTTCCTCTTGGGATTACATGGCCAAGAACAGGTGCAAGGTTATATCTCCTCCCCCACACAAATAGACCGACCATTCCAATAAGATATAATACTTAGTCCTGCCATGAGTGCAGGAAACTGGACTAGATGATCTCTCAATGTCCCTTCCAGTCCTATGATTCTATGATGCAACATGGACATCCTCTCTACGACTACAGTAATACCATTTCCATGTGGATCTGCAGACACCCTTTCTGATGCAGAATAATACAGGATGGGGGGAGCAATGTAAGTCCAGGAGTTATTTTGCTTCACTAGGGATGAGCTGGATACAACCCACTCAGGCTTTAGCATTTAGCAAGCCCCAGTCATGAGGAACCCCGTAATCCCACGTCAGATATTACAACCTACGTGCGTGCACTTATGTCTCTGCCTAGTGTCAGGCACAACTGAGGCTCATCAATGTTTGGGAGTCCCACAGGATTGGCATGAAGAAAAACCAAAAGAAAAGCCCATGCTGACAAGTCAGATGCTGTGTGTTTTGTACACACAGATAAATAGTAATGTTCCATACTGGGGGAACGGGGAAGTTCTGTGAAAAAAAAAAGGACGCAGATGTGTTTTCATCTGAATCACAAAAGAGCTCGATCCTTTGCTCCTGCTAGCAGTGAAGTCTATGGGAAACAGACGTGGGATCAGTCCCTATGTGTTCCCACGTATGTCTGGTGTATCAAACATGCTACTTATATACAGTAGCAGTCACATATAAGGGACATATACATCTGTGCCATGTGGGAGGCCTTTTTATGTAAATGAAAATTTAAAAATGCAAACAGACCTAGAAACTTTTTTCCACATTCCCCTGAACGTTGGAAAGATCTGCCCCAGTCTGAGGTTTGCAGACCCGCAAATTAGCTTTTATTGCTTGTGTCTGAGGAAATTAAGAACAAAGGCCAAATCTAGTTAAATCAAAGATTTTGGTTTCAATACTGATCTTCTCCGGGGGGGTGGGGGGGGGGAGGAAGAAATCACAGGGCAGATTCCACACCCTACATCACTGGAACTGCATGGTGCATAGCCTCACCTTGCTCTGTTGTCATTACCCAGGAAATTCCCCTTGCAGAACAAAGCAAGGTGAATGCTCCCTTGTAATCACTGCTCCCTGTTTGCGTTCTGTTTGTGGGGAGAAGAGCGACTTTCAATTTACCCAACTCATTTGCAGGTGGCACCTTTGTACTGACTGATGCATGTGTATCTGGCTTGGGTTTTCATGTATGATAGGACATATAATGTCATACAAACGTCATGTGTGGATAAATCCGAAGAATGTGTGCGTGTGTGTCTGTCTATATAAACACTACTACTGTGTCTAGATGATTGTTTGGTTTTGTTCTACATCCAGTAGCTCCAGAATTATCCACTGAATGTTTACTCAGCACGTGTGGCATAAATATATTTATACAGTAAAACTGACACTTGGCAATTTTTTTTTTTGCTGACCAGCAACAAATTTCGCTATCTTTCGACTGTAAACCAAGCCTCAATAAATATGCCATGCTCAGCAGAGAGCAATCTTGGTTTTTGCCGCACTCTAAGCCAGGGGTTGTGGGGGCGGGCGCGCCGGAGGAGGTCCCGGGGGCACTCGGGATGGGGGAGGTCCAGGAGGCGGCTGCCTGGAAGGAGGCTGCAGAGAGGCCGAAGGCGAGGCACTTCTCGGAGCGTTGTTGAGGGGGGTGGTGTCGTGCTTCGGCGGCGGGCGGTATGGGGTGGTGCTTCCGTCTGATTTCACCCGGGTGAAGTTTATGCATCGTCCCTGGTTAAAAGAAAAATAGCTATTTGTAAAACCTCCATGTGTTTTGCAGCAGCTAGCAAGCCCAGTGCCAAAGGGATGCAATGCTGTTTTTTGCTATGGGAATGCCTGTCGATCTTCATCCACTGGACATTCATTGGGCCCCCACCAGCAAAGTTCAGCCCTTCGCTTTATCAAACACGGGACGGTTCTGACCCAGGTTTTGCTTGAGCCTCTTAGTGAGAAAAAGGCCCACCCTGAAATTCAGCTACTGTGTTGAAGTCTCCCAGCGGGGATTGGAAAAGGGGTCTCTGAGTGGGTGGCTCTGCCACAGTCATGCTACAGTACTTTGAACTTCCACTGTCCCTTGTCAGCCACAGATCTCAAAGCCCTTCCCGCAGGTATCGCCATTTGACAGCTGGGAAAACAGCGGCACAGAGCGGGGGCAGACTTGTATAAAGCAAAGCAGTGACTCCCAGGTTTCATGACTCCCAGGCCCCTGCTCTAACCACTAGACCTCACTGTGTCTCAGGACTGATGATATATACAGGACAAGTCAATGTATGCTCAATGAAGAGGAGTCCCACCCCTTGCCTTGCTTCTCCATTTAGATCTACACTAACATCGACCCGTCTTCTGTGCGTACAAGAGACTGCTGGAGAAAGCACAATAGCTCTGACCTGGCAGAAGGCAACGCCCCAAAACTAGTCCAAGTCCTGCTTTGGACAAGGCCCATGGTATGGCAAAGTACCCCTATGGGGCGCATGCACATCACACGCACTAGCATTCAAAAGCAACGCAGTTCTTGGACTGCAAACCAGCCGCCTTAAGAGGCCTGCTGGTGTGGTTATGCAGGACATGGCCTAGGGTCCTTAGTCCTCCAGTCCCACACCGAGAACATCAGCAAGTCACATGATAGCGTAACGTGTTTCCCGATTTAGGGGATTTTGAAATGGGTGTGGCCTATCGCGTGGGCTGGGCTGTTGGGAGCTGCCTAAGTGGCATTTCAACACCATAGTGCGTGGGGAAACAAAGAGGAAACTGAAGGAAATGTTGAAGGATGTCCTGCTTCTTTAAGGACTACACATATTTTCAACCGGGCTTCCCCCAGCCAAAGCAGAGCTCTGTTGGGCTCCCTCCAGCCAAACTCCAGAGAGGAAGAGGGAAAGAAGCACCCAGCCAGCACCAGAGCCCACCCAGCAATCCCAGACACATGCCAGCACCCCAGCCGCTCCCCCACCTCCTGACCTGCCCAGCTTTGCAACTGCCAAGTCTTGCATGGCTCCCCATGCTACCCCCTGCCGCAGCTAGGGGAAACTCATTACATCCTTTGCAGATTCCCAATGTCCCAGGTTGATCTGCTAAACTCGGCAGGTGTGGATCTGGCCCTGCATCCTCCTGGTGGTGCAAGGAGGGAGGGAGAGTTTTACAGCAAAGTTGTTGCTTTAACCGTGGCAAGAGTCTGTGCTTATGAGAGTGAGCCACGCCCCACACTAGCAAATAAAAGGCTAAAGATGATGGCTCTTTGAAAATGCAGGAGTGACACCGCCCATAAGTATGAAAAGTAAGCCCCCGCTCCAAGTAGCCAACCGTCAGGACACTCAGCTGGGATGTAGGTGACCCAGGATCAAATCCCTCCAACTCAGGATTTGATGTGGAAGACCCAGATTCACTCCCCCAAAGCTGTCTGCTTTGGAGAGGCTTGATTCCAGGTCTCCCATGTGAGTCCCCTAGCCACTGGGCTATGTCATTCATTCCCTGTTTTCTCGCAGAAAAGGCCTCGGTGCCATCCCTCTGCAGAACAGGAATCTGTTTTTTGAAATCTCAGCAATGTTCGTGGGATGGGAAACCCATTTCCCGCCCAGCTCTAGGCTTGAGAACATTCAACGCGGCAGGCTCCGCCCACTGCCCGGCTGTTCAAGAATCGATCTGCACGACCATCTTGCTGGCGGGGTTTTGAAATCACCCGTTAGAGCCCGGATGGAACTCAAGCACGGGACAGCAGAGTTAGGGTATAGCTTCATTGGAGGTGTGTACATTCCCAGGCTCAATCCCTGCCGATGACCCAAACGGGGCAATGTTACACTTGCCTACCTGGCTCCAGGCTTTCCTAATGAGATTCCGAGCCCTGTAATCCAGCCCAGCTCAACAGTAATTAAAAGTTGCTCCACTCAGATGGACTCCAGGTAGCCCCTGAATGAGATGAGTTTGGTGGGTCTCAGTTCCAGCTCCCTTGTCACAAACTCACCACCAGGCTTTGCATTAAGTGGCCGAGGGAATAGAGAGGCCAAGTCCTGAACGGGCTGTGGAGAGTGATCTGCACCTGTTACCTTTAGACGAACCCCTACTTCCAGACCAGGGGCTGAGAGCAGCACATGTGGGAAGCCTGCCTGGCTGCTATCCTGTAGACAGACAAAGGACTAATGCCTTTCACTGGTACTAAAGCCTCCAGCGTTTGAAGCTGAAGTTTAGGGTTCTATGCCAATTAGTTAATTAAATATCTGAATATTACACCCGGAGCTGCGCAGACTTGGCAGCTATGTTTAAACGTATACACATACAGTTCTCTGTCCGGGACCCCCATTGCAATAGTGTCTGTGCACTGTCACTGTGTTTATCCTTGTGAACCCGACGAGGCAGAGTGGGAATATTATGCCCATTGTACAGCTGGGGAACCGAAGCACAGAGAGGCTAAGGCTATGTCTGTGCTGCAGAGTTAATGGAGGGGATCTGCACCCAGGGTAGTCCTGCCTGGGGGCGAGCAGCCACACTGTGCTGTACTCACCCAGAGGAAGTGCTAGGACTTCAGTTGTTTGTGCTGCCCTGAGCTGAGCCGCCCTGTGATTCTCTCCCAGGGAACTGTGGGAGAACTTTCCTGCCCTTCTGGGCACCCAGGGGAATTGTGGGAAGGCACTGGAGGACTATCAGCACTGAGTGGTTTAGCCTGCATCCTAACTACAAAGTGGCCAGGTGAAAGCAATACCCAGGCTTTACTCTATAGCCCCACCAAGACAGGTAGCCATGTTGAAACACCACCACACTTGTGTCAGAGGTTTCTGTAGATGGACAGGAGCAACACCCAGCAAAGAGCCTGGCTTTACTCTTCAGCAAGGACAAGCCCAAGATCAAACAGGGAGCCTGTAGCAGATCAGGAAATAGAACGCAGGTCTTCTGAGTCCCAGGTTAGCACCCAAACCATTGCATCATCCTTCTTTGTCTCTAAGGGCCACTTGTCTTCTTTTCCACTGGTTTCCTTTATATTCAAAATCTGCTCCCTGCTAGATTAGTAAATGATGCCTGATAAAGCCACCAAGATCTACAGCCATGCAGCATGCCCCACAAATCCACTTTAGTACACAAATGCTTTTGCCTTTGTATTTACAAGGTTGTGCATTTGCCAGGGGTTTAGAAGAATCACTTTGTGAGTGAAGTCTATTTGCTCAACCTATAGAAAAAGTCAGATACAAAATGAAATAAAAGAACCCTTCCTCTCTGTAAGTGCAAAGCCTCAAACGCACATCAGTATTTTTGCCTGCAAGTCTTCCCTGCCCCGTGCCCTTCCTCACCCCCAACCATTAGTCTCAAATGTATTCATAGTGTATAATCAAAGGGGAGCCCAGAAATCTGTTTGCATTACTTTCACATCAGTTAAAGCGATAGGCGGCGTCAAACTGTTGCCAGGTTCTGCCACACTCTTGGATTTGTCAGACAGCTGGGTAATTTAAAGGCCAGGCCTCACATTGTGTCATGAAAAATAAAGTTGGGTTTGGAGCTTGACAGAGCACAATTGGGATGATCGATGTATATACTGTGACATTTCCTCACAACAGATTATCGGTGCACGGCTCCGATCTCATATGGCAACAAGCGATTGGTTAATACTAAAGCAAATTCCTCCGAGCACCCGCAGCAGCCACTGATCAATCAAAGCTGAACTGATGCCTTGCATTAGGATTACAGAGAGAGTCAGAGGAGCAGATAATCACGACTGATCAGTCATGCTTTTCACCTTCCTCAGATCTCAAAGTGCTTTACCGGTGCTGAGGAATTCAGCCTTGCAGTAAGCTACGGGCCACATCCTGCAAGCTGTAATCAAACAAGTGGTGCCAAGACAGTTACTTCTGTGGGCAAGGGTTATGCTCGTAAGTAAGGGCTGCAGGGCCTTGTGTTTGTTACACAGTCCTATATCAGCCCAGGGTTAGTATATACATTAAGTAACAAAAAGCCCATTTATTATGAGACAGAAATTATAGGGTTTTTTCATACCCTACATTTGATTTAAGTATTCCTGCCCCCAACCCCCAACAGCTTGCAAAGTGCATTTGAATAAAGATTAAATTAAATACAGCTTTTGCATTCCTTCCTCGGGTTTCTACCCACACATACCTATGATCGAGGGACTGTGATCAACGGGATTGATTAATAAGGATTGACAGCTGCAATCACACCAGTGGTGGAGCTATCATTATTTTCCCCTTAAGTATGGCAGCATTAAATCTTTTAAGGGAAGGTATCAGAGCTGTCAACTGTGGTAATGCCACAATGATCCCAACTTCGACAGCTGTTGGTAGCCGCTTTTTTGTTTTCTAAGAAGCAAGTGATCTGAATAAATCCAGTTCTGTCTGGTTCCACCCTCACTGCAGGCATGAAATCGCTCAGATGGTCTGACCCGTAAATCTTTATTGTCATTCATGAACCAACTGCAGATCAGCAATATGCCATATGGAGTTATGCCCTTACTTCAGTTCCCATCTACACAGTATTTATAATACACTATTATTTTGCCTTCCCATATGTCTATCCACTTGTTAGTCTCTTGTTACGCTGTTTGCCAAATTGGCTTTTCAAAGGTACAAATACTGAAGCTGCAGAATCTGCCCTTGTTTTGACTCTAGCCAGATCAATCAGGGCAATTCAAAGCAGCTTTTATCCCAGTGTAACAATCACATGTAATTCAATTGCTTTGCCTCTTTGACCACCTAGGATGTGTTTTTTTTTTGCTGTGGTTTATCGGGGGGACTTTT